CATACTTGGCATATGCTTTTTCCATCAAAGCAGGCCAGAACTCGTTTTGGTCTTTGGAGTGAACAAAGATAAGTCTTCCATTGATTGTTGGAAGCTTGTCGTCAATGATGACATCCACCCAACTCCCAAATCTCCAGAACTGAAATGTCAAAAGAAAAGGGAATAAAGTTCCTCTTTACATCTTTACATCCATTTATGAATCAATGGCAGTTAACCCGAAACAAAAAAGTCACTGTATGTGTTGTTTGTCACCAGTGTTATGCTTGGATTATCACAACATTTATTTCTCATATTGTTACACATAATGATGGATGAGTAATGGTGTTTGTTTTTAAATATTTTCTATATATCAATTATTTCAAAAATAAATTGTACAGTTCAGTCTTAAAACCATTGGGAAAGTCTTTCAAGTATTCCAAAGGAGTATTTCAAGGAAATTTCAATGGATTCCAAAGTACTGAATGCATTTAATGCTAAAAAAAGGTACTTGTGAAGTATGTTTCTTTTGTGAGCTCATAGTGATAACTGTCACTTGTTACGGATCATACAAAGTGGTTGATGGTCCTTTTTGAGATTAATCTACGTTTTTGTGACTATAAATTAAATCATTATTGCAGAATGTGAATGTTCAGTCAGTGTTTAATGAAATGATCCCACTCAAAAATAACAACCAGGTTTGCTTCTAGTATTTACCCTGAAGTGGAACAGCCCACAATAGTTTTCCTCAAACGTTTGCTCAAGGGGGACGACTTGCCCAAGGATCTTTTCCTGGAATGTCAGAGCTCCAATAGATGCAAGGAACCAGCAGTTTCCTGAGGAAATATGGTCATTGAGTTGTCAGAAAACAAAAATGCACAACAGTCAATTCTTACAAATAATAAACTACTTTACCTATAAGCCCTTGACCAAGGTCAAACCTTGACAATCCATCAACTACAAAGGCTGGATTAGGAGCAATTTTCTGAAACAAAGACAGTGTAAACAAATAAGAACAGAATAAAAAACTCTTTCAAGGTTTAAAGTAGTTTGATTAGATACTAACAGGCACACAGCAATACTGAAGTATTACACGTGTAAATAAATTATTCTTACTAAATATAATGGCCATTAAACTACTTCATAGTCAAATTCTAAAATTCCTTTCAAAACAACTGCTTTCCCAAATTCAGCTTTACAAACTGTGGGACTGAGCCTTAGACTCTAAGCAGTTTTCCATATCAAGAAACAGTCCTCTAACATTATCCATACCCTGCAGCACATCCAGGACATGAGCTAACCTAACTGCAAAGAATACTGGCCATAAAGGGTTAACTACTGGAATAGTAGTTAACCTTAAATAGTTTCAAACGGTGTCACAAGGCATGATGAGAATTGTAAGAATATTCACCAGAGACCTGAAAACAAACCTGACTACAAGCAGCTTGTATGGCATTAAAAGACTATACTATGTATATTACCATAGTCAAGTTATTACTAGTTACAAAGACAAAACATGCAACTAGCCAGGTAGGGATTGGGTGCAGAGCCTGGCGATTATTCTAAAATGCAAAACATCGAATCATTGGAAAAATGATCAGTTTTAGCTCAACATAATTAATTTACTGTCAGTTACAGACTACAACAAGCTATTGCATCAGTGGTACACGGCCTCTTCTGCTGTTAAAACGTTTTTTTTAATACTCACCGATGGTCTCAGCCAAACCACTCGGTCCATGTCAGAGGGACTCAGTATCCCTTCACCGATGGAGTTCCTGTCAGGGAGGAACATTTCATCTATGTATCTCACTCCTTGGATGAGGCAGTATTGTTTCAGCTGCTGATAGTCTTGGTTGAGAAACTTCTCAGGGTTGTCAGGACTTCCATAACCTTCTTTCTTCTGACGAGCCTCCATAATGTTCAGACACACACCGGGGGGAGGCATTGTAACACTTTTTGGCTCAGCTAAGAAAAATGAGATCCAGGACCATTTTTGCGATAATGAAAACATTCAAAGAATCTTTTAAATACAAAATGAAGTACATATGCATTTCTTAATTCTAAATCAAGAAGTGCATATTCATATCTTAATGGAAGATGAGCTGTATCCAGTAGGTTATACAAGTTGATCTCTCCTTGATCATTTTCTACGAAACCTTTCCCGCTTCCAGCCAATATTTATTGAACTTTTAAAAAATAAAATACAAGTAAAAGCCAATTTAGGATTATTAAACTTTCCTAGCTCCATTGGGATTGTAACCTTTTTTAAATTGTTTTTAATTCCTCACATTTGCAGAAAACTAATTCTGCTGTAGTAAATGAAGCCCTATATTGAAAAGAGCAGACAGTCATGATTGAGCAAGAAGACAGAGAGAGAGACAGAGAGAGAGAGAGAGATAGAGCATCCAAAAAGCACAGAACTGCTACATGCCAATACCAAACACATTGATAGAACATTCAAATCTCAATCAACTGGTTTAAATCTTGGCTTTGGAAGACCATACCTCAGCGTCTGGAGTCAGAAATAATTGGTGGATATACAGGTGAGCAGAGCTGCTTTGTCACTTATATATTGCCTGTAAATGCCTGGTGGTCTTGTGTTTCGTTTCAAGACATGTAATTTACTACAAACCCTGCTTGTAGTCCCCTGGTGCTTAATCCTAAACCTCTGCAGGCTCCTATAGCGAGGGAAAGACAAAAGAGATAGAGACTTTCACTTTTGATTGACTGACCCTGCAGTGACCCTTAAGTTTTTTTCAGCCCAGAACATCCTTGACCTAGTTTGTTCATGGGTTTATTATGCTCATATTGCTCATTAATCTTTAGAGTGAGAGCCTGTCAATAATTACTCAATCGTATTGGCAGCTGCACTGTCTGTTTTCAGTGAGAATGTGCTGCTGTACTACAAAGAAAAACTCAGTGATGCCCTCTGGATGGGAAAGCAAGGGGATGGAAAATAGTATAAAGAATATTTTCATCAACTAAAACATCAAAATTGATAACTGCCAGTCACCAATAAAGTAGACACCCTAAGGCTGCTTTGTGAGAGATCAAGCTTACACTGGGCCAGTCCTATGAGGTCTGGGGATGACCCACTGACAGCAATATATCAACATTTAAAACAAATCAGAAATACATATGGGTGGATATACAGGTGAGTAGAGCTGCTTTGTCACTTATATATTGCCTGTAAATGCCTGGTGGTCTTGTGTTTCGTTTCAAGACATGTCATTTACTACAAACCCCGCTTGTAGTCCCCTGGTGCTTAATCCTAAACCTCTGCAGGCTCCTATAGCGAGAGAAAGACAAAAGAGATAGAGACTTTCACTTTTGATTGACTGACCCTGAAGTTTTTTTCAGCCCAAAACATCCTTGACCTAGTTTGGTTTATTATGCTCATATTGCTCATTAATCTTTAGAGTGAGAGCCTGTTAATAATTATTCAATCTTATTGGCAGCTGCAGTGAGAATGTGCTGCTGTACTACAAAAAAATAACTCTGATGCCCTCTGGAGGGGAAAGCAAGGGAATGGAAAATAGTATAACCAATATTTTCATCAACTAAAACATCAAAATTGATAACTACCAGTCACTGGAATTAACTTTCACCCAGGTTAAAATCAGACAACTTTTTTTAAATTTTACTTTATCGATCTCATTCACAGAAGAATCGCTGTGTGGTTTTATAGCTAAAAAACATTTTATATTGAGACTGACACATCCTGGAAACCGATGAGATAGTTCCTCCTTTATAAATGTTTCCGAGAAATATTTTCAAGGAAGCCAATAGAATATGGGATACAATAGTAAATTATAAACAGAGGTGTAAAGAGTACTAATATATTCTACTCAAGTAAAAGTACTGTTACTTTGATCAAATTTTAAACTGGTAAAAGTACCAGTTTAAAATGTACTTTAAGTAAAAGTTACTTAGTTACTTTTTTTAACAATGCATCTCTCGTGTGTCGTGCAAAAAGGACGAGGGGATATTAATCTCAAAGTTTTTTTTAATTAAAGGCCATTCTTTACAAAGATTTATCTTTTCAGATAAACATTTTCTTTTCTACCCCATTGACAAAAACAAAATATACATAATAATGAATAAATAATCAAGGATTATATGTTCAAGTAATCAGCTGTTTTATGAAGGGAAATGTTTAAAAGGCTTTATATGCGATTTTTTGATCCAGCAGATGTCGCCCTTGAGCACCAGCATGAACCCATAACAACTCATGCCGCATTGTTGTGTTAGCATGCTAATGCTAGCGATCTTTATTATGCTCGTATCTTCACACTGCATGTAAATTTACCTGAAATGAGCGTGATCTAGAAACACAGTTAAGCAGTGAGTACAGTATGTTATTCTTCTTTTCTCTAGTCCCTCAATTAAACAACTTTTATACACAAGGGGAGGAGCTGACCGGCCATCCCGGCGATGTAAACAAACTGAAGATAGGACTCGTAAAACTCTGAAAGCATCACAGACAGCGAGACTCAGGTGTTACACCCATTGTAGACAGTCATGACTCACAGAGTTATTTTCAGAGGATATACTTGATTTCTATTACATTCAAGTGTGAAAAATCACATATTAAGCCTCTAAATTATTTAAGAAAATACTAAAAGGATCTTTGTCTCAATCATAAAAAATGTAAAGAGGATTTTAGTGTTTTTAGTTTTATTATTCTGAGGCTGGTTAGTCTCAAAGACAGCCTCAAAGGCTGACTTAGCTGCAACTAAACCTGAGATGAAAGATAATCCATTTATTGTTTTAAAATGAGCCTTTATGAGCTTAAATATTAGATGTTTTAGTCACTGTTTGTTTACCTAATAGCAGGCTACTGAAGCTTCTAACTGAATCTGTCTGGTTTGAAGTATTTTTTTTCGCACATCTGAGATGTGTTAAGTTGCAGCAGCTTATAACACCCAACTTCCTCATACGTCTGCTTCAAAATAAAAGCACATCACAGAGATGACAATTAGGGACTTTTATTGTGAAAAACTTTCCGGAACTAAATCTGTTTATCACTCGGAGCGGCAGCGGCGATTGTAGTAGCGAACGCTGCAGTGAGAAAAAGCATCCTCAGCCACGTCTTTGCCCAAGAGTAAGAACCACAGCCAACTTATGTTAATCATCTTGGACTTAAGACAATGAGACATCAGTTTATAAACACTTTCAGCAAGTAGACCCGCTCTAGTGGAGGTGCTTATCCGTGCTGCATTAACTGAAGTGGCACCGAGCCAAGAAAAGGCTCTCTCTCTCTCTCTCTCTCTCTCGCTCTCTGTCTCTCCGTCTCTCTGTCTCTCGTCGCTCCGGTGCCATGAGCGAAAATTTATTCATAGCAGGCCTATTTGTTTTACTCAGGATGTGATTTAAAATGTAGCGAATTACAATACTTAACAGAAATCCTACTTAAGTAAAAGTAAAAGTACAGATTTTAAAAACGACTTAAAAAGTAGTAAGTACACCAAAAAACTACTCAATTACAATAACACGAGTAAATGTAATTCATTACTTTACACCTCTGATTATAAAGGATGTGTCAGTAAAATCAAGGTTGTGATTTCATTAAATCGTGTAGCACTAGTTAAGGATGCATGAGGTTCAAACATTCATTTGAGAGTGAGATGAAAAGTTTGTGTTAAAAGTTTAAGCATACAGTTTATCAGCATAACTTGACCATTACATACCCTTATACCCTCAATTAATTCAGACAGTTTCTTAAAAAAATGGAGGACGTGAGCAAGCTAAGCCATCACGAGGGGACAATCACTACACTAAATCATCTGCTAAGGACTGTGTGAAAATATTTTATTTTACGTCGTACACTGTAATGGCAAAATGTTATTGCAATTAAGAAACAGCTGCACTAGATCTAGCTCAAGTTGATAGACTTAGGGTTAACCCTTACCCTAAAGGGCATATAAAACCAGAAAAAGCATAATATGGGACCTTTAATAAAACAGTAAAATTAAGTAATGAACCTTTTTGTGATTGTGTAGCAGTGGCAGTGGGGTTCAAATAGTTTGAACATTATTGTGTCAGGACTCAGGCTTTACCTGGAGATCTTTGATAAGCTGGTAAACAGGTTCACCAAGGTGGATCATCACCAGTTTGAGGATATATTCCCTTCTGGTGTTGATGTCCACAGTCTGAAAAAAAACAGTTACTTCCAATGAAAATTACTGCCACGCAAGGACAATTTTGTCATATACCCCACACTTCATCCATACATACCTCATCGAAAGCCTGCAAGGTCCTTGCAGCTTTTTCTTTTATAAGTCCCCCCTTGCTCCTGATGACCTCCAGCAGTTTCGGGGTATGTTTGTCCATCTGTGCCAAGAACTTTGTCTCCAAGGGTGGTAATTCTTAGGAACTCAGCACTGATCTAGAAAACAACATAGAGCATAAAAACAAATTGGAGAATAACATCATTATCAATATAGCAAGATAAAACCAATCAGTTAATTTACCTCCAGGCAGGCCTTCATGGAGACCTGGATAGTACTTTCCTGCCATTAAACTCCTTTATTTGATGTGATATTGCTGATATAGTTGTTGAAATTGTTTCTCCCATTCCCCTCTTAAATTTGAATACCAAAATGCTCTGAAACACTTTGCTTGTTTGTGAAGCTTTTAAGTGTGTCAGTTACTTGTTCCTATAGTTCAACACAACTTATTTATATTTATCAAAGAGCCTAAGGTTTGATCCATCTGCACAAAAATCACCTTTAATAGATTTTACATTTTAAATGAGACATCAATATTGGGGATGCAATAGATTTATTGAAAGACCCTGCATTTTGTGCAAAACAATACATTCTCCTCTATTTATTAAAGCCAGAACATAAAGCTTGAAGTAAACACCAACTGGTAGACACAAAAAAAACATACCTCATCCATCTGAAAAAGTGCAGGCCATCTTTCCAGGATGTCGTCAACGCTCGGCATCTTGTGCATGATTTCTTGTTTTCTGTAACCAAATGTCTTTGCCATCTTGTCCTTTAATGTTGGACGGTTGTTTCTTTTCTGGTTTTCCATCAATAGGAAAATCCTCTCCTGTTCCAGGCTTTCTTGAGTCTCACCACTAGGTAAGGGTGGAAAATGGTTAACCTCGGCTCGTCTTGGTCTCTTCAAATTCTTTGCAGGGTGGGCCTCCTCTCGAGACTTGGATTTGGAAGAATTAACAGTGAGCTCAGCAGATGTGCTGTGTGCCTTAAGCAGAGTCCGGTAGTTGGCCATTTCTACTTTCAGTCTTTGTTTCCAGCCATAGCTCTCATTGTAAGACCCTGGTTCTCTCAAGCAGGAGTGCTTCTTTGTCAGTGCCAAAGCAACTTCACTGAAGTCTGCATCTGTACGGTATGCTTTGTATGTGTAGACTCTTTCAGCTAGTTTCTCCAGTATGTCAGACAGCATTCCTGTCAGTCTAGAATGGCTTCTTGTGTACTCTGCATTTCCCTTCTGTAGTTGACATTCTGTGTCAAAGGAAAATGTTGGGATGGGAAATGCTGTTGGCCACTGCTGTGTTCTTAGTGAGTCAGGGGAAGGGCTGCTAAGTAGTATAGTGTCATCTATATTTGACGATCCGAGGGAGGAGTTGTCACGGCCTGGTTCAACTGGAATACTGCTACTTAATGGGAGATCAACTGGATACAAGACAATAGTTGTCGAATCAGGGTCTAACTGGACAACTCTGATACTGTAAGGTCCTAAATGACAGTTGTTAGATTCACAAAGATGTTTCCAAAATCAGTGTCCTTGTACTGCAGCCTCATGTATCCCCCTAATCCACAAGCATTCTGGACTTCTTCAATTAGCTCGTCCAGAGAGTTAGGAATCCCATTGCTTAGCTCTACTCTCACAATATTGTCTTTGTTCACGATGACCAGCAATCGAACAAGAGCTGCATCTGCCATTGTGCCCTAAGAGAGGGAGATGGAGAGACAAAGAGACAAAACTAAGCCATTTGAGTGAGTGACATTGAATGAGCCGGGGCTGGCTCGAGCTGGGGCGGACTGGTAGTGTCGGTGCTCTCACTGTTTGCCTATGGACACAGACATAGAGTCTGTTTTCTGCCAGGAATTTCCAAGATCAATTCTGGAAGAAATCCCTGAATCAGTTGAGGAAATGGTCTTATGTGTTGAAGTAAATATGTCTGTAAATGTTTTTATTACTATGTTTCTACTGCTACATTGTATATTTTGGAGAAACTGTATTTTTCCTGGTCTGCTTTTGGTTTGGGGCTTGTGTTTTTTCTTTCAGAGGCTGGGCGTGGCTTATTGGCTGCTGGAGCTCTCTGCAATCACTCACCTGATTGTCTTCTGTAATCACCAGCTGCAGCATTTATACCCTGGTTCACCTCTCCCAAACTGCCAGATTATTTCCGCCTACACCATGGTAGATCGGCTTTCAGAATCAGTAAGACTTTTTGTACTTTGGAAGTACCTGTGACTTATTATCCCTTGTCTTCTTTTTTCCCCAGTGCCTCCAACCAACGAGCTCCAGCGCCTCACCACCCAGCCTCTCATTCAGCCTCACCTCAATAAATACCCCTTTACCCAGCACCCTGTTTTCCGGTCTTGCTTTTGGGTCCACTTAAAATCTTTTTAAGGTCATAACATTCATGTTTCAATGGGTGAAGTATCCCTTTAACCACCATAACCTTGTGTACATGCAGGTCCTTGTGTGTGAATGTGCATGCTTGTTAGGCTAAAGGTCCTTATTGGCATGAGGTCATGGTGACATCAAATGTTTTATATTGAAACAACATGGATTGGAATGATTTGATATGATCATTTAAATATTGATTTGTGGTCCATGATGGTACAATGTTGTCTGAGAGCAGCAGCTGGATTGCTACTTTTTTATCAAATATGAAATGTGTAATACATTTAAAACATTTAAAATGTGTCCGTTATGGTACAATGTGGCCTCAAGGCAACAAACTTTAAATGAATAAATAGATTTAAAAATGTTATAATGTCCAACTTAAGTAGGAAAAACACCATAACAATTTCTTTTGCTCATTGATATCGTAACGCGTACCATAGAGGGGATGATTGCCGTTTACTGTCATTCAAAACTAATTACAGCCTTAAAGTTCACCATATGTTCAAAATGCTTTACGTGCCAGCCAAGATTGAGCTTGCATGACTTTATCAGTTAATTACACTTGTGATGACTGCTCAAATTTTATTAAGGGTGCCTGATTTTCACACAGAAGAAATCTGACTTGTTTCAACATGTCTGGATTAACCATGTCCAAAGCTGTTTTAAAAATATATATATATATTTTAGTGAATAATTCAACTGTGTGCGTTAATTCTCTGTGTAGTAAAGCTATCTAGACTGGAAAAAAAAGTAAACAATGTATTGTAAGAAAAAGTCAAATAACATATATAATGAAATATGGCATTTTATATATATATTTACTGTAGCTAAATATAAGAGGATGGGGAAGGAAATCATACGGCAAATTAGTGAATTAATTAGCGCAAATATAAACAGTATGTGGTGTAGCGCTCCAACATGTTAAGTTTGGTAATAATGATAAAACAACTGATGATGTCTATGAAATCAGGGGAAGTCCTATCCACCAGTGGCTACCCCATAGAGCCACCTTCAGAGATCTCCAGAGTTGGTCAGTATCTTAGGTTAAGTTATTTCTGCCACTGTTGTTATTATTGATATGAATTATTATTTGAATGCTTTTTGAATTCCAAATCATTGTTATTTTAATGTGTTTTGTATTTCTGATTTGTTTTAAATGTTGATATATTGCTGTCAGTGGGTCATCCCCAGACCTCATAGGACTGGCCCAGTGTAAGCTTGATCTCTCACAAAGCAGCCTTAGGGTGTCTACTTTATTGGTGACTGGCAGTTATCAATTTTGATGTTTTAGTTGATGAAAATATTGGTTATACTATTTTCCATTCCCTTGCTTTCCCATCCAGAGGGCATCACTGAGTTTTTCTTTGTAGTACAGCAGCACATTCTCACTGAAAACAGACAGTGCAGCTGCCAATACAATTGAGTAATTATTGACAGGCTCTCACTCTAAAGATTAATGAGCAATATGAGCATAATAAACCCACGAACAAACTAGGTCAAGGATGTTCTGGGCTGAAAAAAACTTCAGGGTCACTGCAGGGTCAGTCAATCAAAAGTGAAAGTCTCTATCTCTTTTGTCTTTCTCTCGCTATAGGAGCCTGCAGAGGTTTAGGATTAAGCACCAGGGGACTACAAGCGGGGTTTGTAGTAAATTACATGTCTTGAAACAAAACACAAGACCACCAGGCATTTACAGGCAATATATAAGTGACAAAGCACCTCTGCTCACCTGTATATCCACCAACTATTTCTGACTCCAGACGCTGAGGTATGGTCTTCCAAAGCCAAGTTTTAAACCAGCTGATTGAGATTTGAATGTTCTACACTGAAAAAAATAAAACATTGGATGAACCTAAAAAAATTGAAGTGATCACATGAAATATTTTACACTGATTCAATGTGATGAAGTAACTTCCTTCAACCTACATTTTTTAATTCAACGCAAACTATTATTTTAATTTGAGCAAACCAATTATTTTAAATAGTGCCCAATTAAATAATTGATTAGCTTTAACTGACTTAATGTAAATAATTTAATTAGTACAACCTTAAATTTTAACTCCACCAAAATCATTTTTGGCACTTGGAGCAAACTAATAATTTTAAGTTGGCTCAATTAAAAAATGCCAATTGACATTATTTAAAATGTTTAAGCTAATTGAAATTAAAACAATGTATTAAATACATTTTGATTGAGTACTCAAACACATTCCTTCAAACATTTACATTTATTTGTAAATTTACAAATTATTACAAATACATCTCTGAAAAAACATACTAGAAAGAATTGCAACCTCCAAACATGGAGCTCATAAATAAGTCCAACTTAAAGAAATTCAAGCACTTACTTAGTCCTGTATAGGGACACTTGTTTGTCAATACAGGAATGATTTCTGCAGGTTCTCAGTCATCGAGGTAAATTCAAAGCTTGATCCAAAGGCATCTGGACTGGTTGAAGATCTTGAAGATGTTTCACCTCTCCTCCCAAAGATTTCTTCAGATGTAAACTTTCTGGTGGACAGAGCTAAAAAATGTAAGCCTCACATCAGAGTCGTTTCCATAGCTACACTTGATGGGCTTATACTGTGCCTGAAGATTGTGTCAAAATGCTACTTATTTCTTTGGTCAGCTTTGAAGATGGGAAACGGGTAACAAAGGAGACAGATAAATATAACTCTGGTTAATATGTCAAAATGAACACATATATACACAATGCAAATAAAAATCATGGAATTTAATTATCTTTAAATTAATAAAATATTTTATTTGATCAAATCTAGTTTAAAAAATCATCTTAAGGTGTCTCATGTAAAATGAATTGTTTTTTATACAGAAATATTCAGAAATCATAATTCAAAAACTGGAAGAACAACAAGAATAGCCATAAGTCAGCCACGTAAAAAAATAATGGCGTTGTTTTTTTTTCTTACCTTAAATATGGAGAATCCAATGTGGAGATTTTGGCACGAGCATACTGTTTTCCCCTTGTTTGGCAGAACACTCACTGAATAACATCTCAACTGTGACCCGATACTGAGGATTAGTCCAGAAGCTCTCTACAAGGCAAAAATTGTTGCAAATGTGAAAAGAAATATATGAACCAATAATCATTGGCTATACGTATAATTTTGTCTATTTCTGTTTTATCTTGATGCTTGTAACGTATTGACCTGAAGTGAGCCCAAACTCACAGGACACAAATGAAAACCCCACTCTTCTTGTTTACTGATAACAAAAGCCATTCATTTGATTAACTGTTTCAAAGAGACTTTGCATCGGAATGTGAAGAACAGGACGTTGTAAAAACAAACCTTTTTGCAATAAGCCTTTAATCTACGTTGGTGAACCAGACCACTTGGATACGTGTGAACAACTTTCAGAATAAACAATCCCAGGAAGACAGCCGTCTGTCGAGTTAATCAACATGACAGGGGAGGCCTTTGATGTGATCTGGACTATCTCAAACTGACTTGACCTGTCTTAACCAACATAACCCATTTCTGATATAAAAGAATTCCGGTTCAATCCCTGAATCGGATATATGTATTCATGACATCAAGACTAACACTTTAATGCAAGTTAGATTCTGCTACGATCATCTACGACGAAATGGATACAACACGATAGTGAAGGACTAAATTACATTACCTGGTGAACTCTCCATGAATCTTACGTGGAGCACTACTGCCCCCTAGTGGCAAGAGCGCTGTACCGGCCTGAGTTTCAGGACGGAGGAATTATGATAGTTAATATGTGATTTTGTCCTAGTTATAAACTTACTATTTCAAGATATTATTTTATACTCTTCATACTATATTAATGTGTTTTTGAATGTTGAATGGTATAATGCTGATTTCATTCCCATACAGGCGGAAATCATCTAGCTGTCTTCAGGTTGGACGTAATGTCTATTTCATTGCATATTTGTTTGAAATGTTTAAAGGTCGGAGATAATTCTATATACGAATATTGACATGATGATGTTCATATGATCATAGTTCTTACTTATGCTCTTAATAAGTAAAGAACTCGGAGTGGATTAAATTAAAAGTTAAACATTGGAGGCGGGTTAGATATTAGGCCCCGCCCCCTCATAAAAGTCATCTCCAGAATAAAGCAGCTCGTCTCTCAGGAGTTCGCCCTCTTTCTAAATTCTTCTTCTAAGTAAAATTCTTCTTGTAAAATCCTCGTGTAAAAAAGTTTCTTCACCCTCTTTGATGTCTCTTGTTAATTCTTGTTTCGAATCACCTTGTTTCTTCAAGTTTTGACGACGCAAAACTCTTTATATTTAAGTCCGGATTCGCAGGACTCAAATCCAATTTAAACAATCCCTGATTCTTCACGCACGCATTCTAAGGCTTTTTCCTACAGCCTAAGATTGAGCGCCACTTTCTTTTTCTCCTGTTTTGAAGTATTGATCATTCGTCTTCCAGAACAGTAGTTTTTATGATCCTCACGCTTGACTACAAGTGACCATTCAAGTCAAGTGAGGATCAAAGAGCATTCAATCCTGATGAATGTTAATTAAGACTCTTTGAGCCGCTGAGAGACGGACCCATGGACAACTGCTTGGACCGCTGAGTTTTTCTTCAAACCCATCTCATTGTCGACTTTGACCAGACCTTCTACGGCGGTTATCGTGGGCCACCGGCATTCCTGATCCGAAAGAACTCAACGGAGAGCCTTGGCACCATTCGGCGGAGTTCAATTCAACACTACGTCTCAGTAAGGAAGCGTTCTGATTATGAGATTGGGGTGTTGAGTCTATAACAATAGGAACTATTGTTCTGATGTAAGAAGCAACACGGACATTTTAGGGTGTAACACAGGGGGAGAGCGGCATGTCACAGGTTGAATGTTCCTGTGTGAAGAGTTTCATTAAACTCTAAATTCTGTGTCTTTTGAGTACATTAAGAGCAGAATATAACATGGTGGCAGCGGTACCGGACTTC